GGGGAATTCTGGAAGTTGAACTCCACCCGTCTTAAAGTTGCCAAGGTTGAGGAACCCCGCTTTAGGCCTTTTTCAAGGATGATGACACATAATAACAAGTGGAAATTTGACTGACCATCAGACTTTGTGGCCAAGGATACAGCAATAGGTCCCAGAGGTCTTTTTGAAAACACTGGTGCTTAACTGTATGTAAAAGCAGTCTGAGCACCCTGTTGATTTTATGGTATTTATAAGAGCTTATGGTAGGCACCTCTTCAAGAATAGCCCCACGTAGAGCACATTGGCATAATCAAGTCAGAAGGAAATGAAGGCATAGATAATGCCAAGGCATAGAAGACTTTGGACAAAGTTATGATGTTACAGATAGCTGTACAAAAGTATAATACAGATTCGACTGGTTTTTTGTTTTTGTTGTCTGAGGAACCTGCTTGAACTGAATAATTTATCTAAGTTTTCTCATTCTGCCATTTGCAACCTACCTAAATCTCCATTTCTGCTATATTCAGGAGTAAAGACAAAATACATTTAGGACATTTTGACATAGGTTTTTTGGAGTAATATAATTATTTAAGAGAGCGCAAGATGCTTCATTACTATTGTTTTTTTGAGGATGAACTCAAGAGGCTCATATTCAGAACCCCTCCAGCCTTTCATAATGAGAGGATGAACAGGCATATAGGTATCATGATTGCACTCTTTCATTCTAACTGGAAAAATAAAAATTAGACATAGAACCTCCCCACCAGCTACCTAGTTATAACTAGAATATTTAAAATATCTCTATATAATAATATTTGAGAAAACAGGCTTGATTATTAACTAAGACAATACAAAAGCATCCTGCACTTACCACCTGTGAACCACATTTACAAGGAAGACAATCATATCAATGCTGCTGATATTTTCCATGATGGGACTATATTATTTGATAAACAACAGCCCCTGGAGTTGAAGAAAATTTCAATACAGCTTAGGAGGGGGTACAAATCATGTATATTTATTCAGGCCTTTATCCAGGCCTTTTAATGCTACTGTTCTAGTTTTAAACCTGTCACATTTTAAAATATGTTTTTATTATATCTTTATAAGTAACTCAAAGCTGTTAAGGAAGTGGGTGACACATAAATACGGTCAAGAATGGGGATGCATATTTAATGCAATATTTGTATTTTGGAATCGGAATAAAACATATGAGCCCTAGAACAGGTGCATTATTCAAAGGGTCACAGAATTAGGCAAGGGTCTATAGTTTGCTAGAAGACAAGATTTGTATAAACAAGCTTTCAGGTTTAGCTCCCAATTAAAGGCTCAGGTGTTATTGAACAAAATGTGGCAAGGATAGATTTGTATATCAGAGAACATCACATGTTCAATACATTCTCACTCTGATAGAAACTGAGAACAACCAAAGGGTGAATTTTATCTTATCAAATTATAAATACGCAGCAGACTTCATTCTGATCAGATAAAAGAAAATGCCTTTGAGGAATGCCTTTTAAAACTTTTGCGATGTTTGCTAAAATTAATTTCTAATTGGATATATCAATGGATAAAAGAATATGGGCATATGAATGGTGTGAAATGTGTCAAAAGGAATTTTTTATCATGTCCAACAACACTAGAATTTGGAATCACCTTATGAGCTTGATTTGGGAAAGTAGTTTTGCACACAATGAATCTGGGAACCATTACAATAAGTAAAGTTAAACAAAAAGGAGACTGGGTACATTCAAGGAACATAATAAATCAAATTTCCTTGCCAAAAGTCAGTGTTCTTTTGATTACTGAGGACAATGGTACATTTTAGAAATAGCATGATCTCTCTATCAGCTTCCTGAATATCTTCTTGGCCACTAAAATAACATTGGATTAAATGGTTGGTTTTTTATTCAACCAAAGCAATGTTTATGTTCTTATGAGCATATTTTCTTCTCTATGTGCTGTTCATAACCAAATATGTTACTTTTAGAAATGAATCAAAAGGAAACTTATCTATGGTTTTTAAGGTTCTACAATATTAACTGAAATTAGTCAGAAGGCATAGACAACTGATTTCAGAAAAATGTAGCTTAATACACTCAGCTTCCTTTTTTGTCTCCCCCAACACTACACTTGAGAAAGAAACTTAGACAAGTACACTAATTTACATGCAACAAAGTACAACATGAAAATATTAATCCATGTGGCCTATAGTTCCAATGCCAAGAATATATCTTGCTGTTTCCATGGTAGATGTAGAAGTTTCAATATTATTTTCATCTTTGCAAAGTTATTTTCCAGCTAACACCACTGACAGTTATGAAGTTGTATTTATGCATTCTAACCACCGTATTTTTAATACAACATTTTCACACAATTAGTCATTGCTTCAGCTGACAAAAACTGTGTCCTCACTTGCACCTAACCATAGCATGAACAAATCCTGGCTACATTTTTTTTCTCCTGTTGTCTACGTCACATTGCCATCCTATGAGTAAAAGGGGCTTAGATGGTCCTTAGCTGTACTGGTGTTAAACTAGTATTGGAAGGGACTTTGCATCTCATGTAGTCCAAAACTCTGCCTAGTGCAGGATTCCTCAACTATGCTATCCCCGACAGAAGGCATCCAGCTTCAGTTTAAAAACTTCCAGGGAAGGAAAGTTCACCACTTCCCAAGATAATCTGTTCCACTGTCCAACAGCCCTTGTCGTTTGAAATTTCTTCCTGATGCCCAAGCAAAATCTGTTTTCTCATAATTTAAACCGACTGGTTTTTTTTTCCTGGAACAACATGGAACACATCTCTTGTTGCTATGATGGCTTTCAGATACTTAAAGACAATGATCGTGTCTGCTTGCAGTTCTCTATTCTCTAGGCTGCACATACCCTACGCTTCCATCCATTCATCAGAAGTGTTTTTCTTTCAGACCTCCTATCATCTTGGCTGCTTGTTCTATGGGCATGTTCCAGTTTTTCAGTGTCCTTCTTAAAATGTGCTGCCCAGAATTGAATGCAATTTTCTAAGTGTGGTCAAACGAATGCAGAATAGACAGGAATGATAAGTACTCTTGAACTTAACACTACTTCTGCTGATGCAGCATAGGATTGTGCTTGCTTGTTTTTTGCACTTGGATTGCATGTTCAGCTTGTGAGCCCACAAGCACAGTGTCTGATTTCTGGGAGGCATTTCTATTTTCTTCTGTGAAGCAAAGTAATGTGTGCGTGTCTGTGCATGTGCACTTTTTTTTCAGACTGGGTGTGTTTGCGTACATGTTGCTCTTTCTGTGTGTTTCTGCTCTCACCTCGTGTTGCATCTGTGCTTTCCTGTATATGTGTGCATTGAGAAATACAGATGGTTTGCATATGCTCTGCTCTGGGTCACATGACTAGGAAGAGGAGGAATGGGGCTTAGAAGGGAGCAGCCAGCAGCATTCCAACTTGCTCCACCACTGCTTCTGCCATTGGGTTACAATGGGGATTTTTTTTTTGGTTTGGCAATGTTTTTCTCCACAGACTGGAACCTGATCGGGCTGATTTTTAACTTGTTCTTTTGCTAGCTTCACTCGCCTGACCAAATTTGGCCCTGTTCTGTGGAGAGTTATCCTGCTCACAAACAGACAGATTCCTGACTCTGTTTACATAATTTCTTTCAACATTCCATTGTGTTGGAAAGAATAAAAAGGGTTAGTTTATTCTTGATAAATCCATGCTGGCTTCTGCCAAACAACACATTATTTTCCAAATGCTCACAAACATTTGAACAGAGTTTCCCATTGGGGATGAAAACTGAAACAAAGTAGGAGTTAAGGAGCAATGCCTTCTCTTCAGGTTACTTAAGGCAGTTGGCCTACCTCATCTTTTTCTTTCCCTTACTATGACATAGAAAAAACACACACCTGTTTTGTTGCTTTAGTTTCCCTTGCAAGCCTAAGTTCCTTTAAAGCTTTAGCCTTTCTGATTTTCTTACTGCAGATATTAACTATCAGTGATACACTTCCTTGGTGTATCACCCAGCTTCCAGTTCCTGTACATGCTCCTTTTAACTCTTAAAAACAGGCCTACATTGAAGGACTGACAACTATGCTCCACTTTCCCTTTCTGTTTTTACCTCTTCAAGCAGCTGTTAATTGGATCAAATCTAGGACAGCTGATGCCCTTGATTTAACCTTCTTGAAAATGAAGTAGTCAGCAAGACCACTCAGGAATTTTGAGGAATTTGCCCTCTTGGGTGAGTTGATGTTTGAACAGAAAAAACTCAGCTATTTTCTCTCCTAAACCAACACCACCCAAAGTCATTTTTAGAGTGTGTAAAATTGAATAAGCTTGGTCACTCATTACCTTGAGAGAAGTTGGATGACTGGCACTCACAATAATTTTACTCACAATAAAACCAAGATAGGGATTGCGACAGGGACAGAAAATTTCATGCTTGTATAATTTTCTGCCAAATCAAGGATGGATAAGTAGTATTAAAACATGTTAGTGGACAAAGATCTCCATGTATTTCAACTGAGTTCAGACATCAAACATGGTTTATTTTGTAGTTTATTTTACCCATTATTTGTTGAATAAACCTTAGCAACTTACTTATTCATAAATAACAAAGTCAGCCATAAATCAACAAACCTGTATTATGTCTTGGCACAAGATGTGTTCCTAGTACTGACTTTGCTTGGGATTGTTTCAAAACCTAAAATCATGTCTATATGCTTGATTTTATGTTATATTTATATTCTGCTTCACAGCCCAGATCAGCTCCCCAAATTGTTTAGGATTAAAATCCTCATTGCAAAGGTATAATACATTGGGAATACATAGGTACCTCAGGGGTTGGCATCATCTGCCAGGGCCTGGGACTCAGCAGAGTGTCACAGGTGAGCAGCAGAACTTCCTGGTCTAGTCCCTGATCCTCCTGTCATTGCTGCCTCTTGCCATGTTCTTCAGATTTCAATCATTGCTAACCTGAAAAAAAGTAAAGTTGCAAAGATTTATCTTCCTGCAGTTTTCTTTTATAAATGGTATGCCATTCCATGTTGTATCAGTTCTACTTTTATATATTACATGTTTTTAAAACCCTCCTCACAACTGAAACTACTTTTTCTTATTTAACATCATATAAATAATACCCTCATAAAATGCATAGGAAAGACTATTTCCAAAGGTCTGGCAACAATAATTTCCTTCATAGTCAGACACTGTCCAGATTTTAAGTCTATTTAGAGTTTTTTTTGGTGAGCAAATTGCAGCATAGTTTTACATATTTTCTACTTCCTCCAGTGGGTAAGAAGTTCAAGGTCTGTGTTATCAGAATATACTGTATTAAGGAAAGGTTGCTACAGCTTTACTGCTGTGTTGAAAAAAAAAAAAATCTGCATTGTTTCTACCAGTTCTCTCTTGGTTTGAATAAAGAGAAATTGTTTTTGAAATTTCTTTCAAAAAAGAAGAGAATTCTCAAAGGTTGAGTTTGGTATTTTTGCACTTAATTAGGAAGTGGCCAAGGTGTCTGTGTGAGTATCCTACACATGAATCTCTCTCATTGTCTGTAGCCTCCTTGGCTTCTGATGCTGCTTCAACTAAATCCATGGAAAGACATTATGAAGAAACTGTTCCTATTAGGATCTTTCAGAGTGGAACATGTGGGTAGTGAGAGAGGCTTCAGCGTTATGGAAAGACTTGTAAGAGAAACCAGACACCCACGGAGGCACCGCTGACCAGCTCAACAATAAAACACATTCTAAATCACCACCAAAGAAAGTCAAAAGATAATTTCAAGCATTCTAGAACAAACAACAACAACAAAACTAAATAGAAGCCTATTTCATAGGAGAATAAACCTTTCAAGAAATTGCAAGGCAATTTTGACACAGCATTAATTTACACATACACAAGTGGAGTGTATGTATAGACAAACAGAGCATACTTAGCAGGTAGTAAGTCCTGTATCCCACTTTAGAAACCAAGAAAACCAAGCTTTATTTGGCCTTCAGCTAATTTTCTATGTCTCTGAGAGTATGTAGTTCTACATACTGATTTAAAGTGACCTGTGAAAACAGAACAGTCTTCACTTCCAAGTTAATAATAACCAGAAATTGAAACCAATCATGGATTTAAATTGCAGTTAGTGCTGATCATAAATGGCTGCTCTGCCATTATTAGTTATCACCCATGTCATGTTAAAGTAGGGAGGAGCTGCCAATCATGGTTAAGGAGCCGCATTAAATGGAGGTAAGAAGACAGCATGCATCTTCACACTAATGAAATGGCTGAATGTAAAAGCCCAGCATAGTCAAGTCACATCCTGGACCACATTATGACAAATCTCAAAAATGCATAGCTTTCAAGGGTAATGTTCATAAAAAACCCTACACTAGGCCTATATGATCTGGACTGGAAAAATCTGCACATCCACTAGATGGCAGCAGTGGGATACAGAAAAGTAACTGGTGCCATCTAATGAACTTCTGTAGTTTTGCAGCCCAGATCTTATAGTCTTAGTTTAGAGTAATGTGTGAACCAGCAACCTTGTGTAGAGTGTATGAACTAAGCCACTATGATTTTTCAATGTTTAAAAAACATGATTTCGCATAATATGTGAATCCACCCTCTGCTTTTAGTCATCGAATGGGAAGAAGGTAATTTCAGCTGGAAAATAAAATAGGAAATGAATAATCACTATTGTGCTTAAGTATTAATTAATTCCAGAAATTTGTAAAATATTTTCCAGTGCATATCAAACCAGTGAACTGAGTCATGCTAAAGTAAAGGTTATTCTGTGAATTTATTTTCTGGATAGGTTTTTAAATGCGAGCTTCCTCGATCCAACAATGCATCTTCTACATCAACCTTCCCAAATTGGGTGCCTTCTGGATCTGTGGGAATTCATCTGCCTAAATTACCAGCCTTTTGATATGCTCTCTGGGAATTCTGGGAGATGAAGCACATATAAAGCACATCATGACAGCTGTATATGCTACTATATGGGTAGGAGATTACATTTCCAAACAGACTCAGTCAGCAAGCCAATAGTGATGAATAATGGGAGATGTAGTTCAGGGCCACAGGTTTTCCGTTCCTTCAGTATGTGCTAGTCTCCTTCCGGGAATATTATTTAGCAAGTTCAGTCCAGTTTGTGCAATTAACTAGTTACTAAATTGCTATGCTGTACCTCTAAGAACAGCAGAAACAGAGTAGACCTACCAAACATTCTTCAGCCTGGAAATAAGGCAGCCATTTTCTCAGTATTTTTACTTGGAATTCCCATTAAAGGAAGCAAGACCAGTTGAGAGGCACCCTGAACCACCAGGGTCTGAGAGTGGAATACGTCTCCTGTCCTGGGCTGATTCCTTCCCTGAAAGCTAGGTTGCTTAGCCATCTTGTTCCCCTGGTCAAGGAAGAGAACTTCGGGGGTGCTTATATTTTTTTTCAGCAAAAGTTGCTCCCTGGTGCCTCTCTACAGGGAGATGGTGCTGTCTGCAGCTGGACCAAGGAATTCCAGAGGAATGCGGGATATCTCTCTACTGCTGCAGCCTTGGTGGCAAGCTTAGAGGAGCTTATACAAAACTGCAGTGGCTGCCACAAAAGCTCCCCAAAAACATCTTTGATGATTTGGGGAGTACAGTCTTTTGGAGGTCAGCCAGCATGGTGGAGAGGGAGTAGTGGTTGAATGACCATTTTCTTCCAGGGCAGTACAGCAGGCAAGTCTAATCATTTAGATGCAACCCTGCTCTACCCAGAGAGCTTTTGTGCACATGCCAAGGGGTCTGTAGCTGGGGATCCCAGGCACAGCAGAACCTCTGCTAGGACAAACCACACACTCAGCTTTCAGATGGAAGATGTCATCAACAAGCAGGAATCCCTTTGAGCAGAACTGCCCTAAAATACATCCCTTGGCATTTCGGGAGCAGCCCCCAGGAACCTTTGCAACACCTCTGGGTGTCAGATAGCTCAACCTTTGCAGCCCTGTTTACATTTTTTATTCAGCTTTAAAGTGGTGAATTCTGCTGGATGTATGAACATTAATGACCGGTTATTTCTGAATGAATTTATCCTTGCATCTTTGTCAAACTGTGGGCAGGTGAGCATTTGGTGATGTCACGGAGCTGGTTAGAGACAGAATTTCTAATGAATAATGTTTGGAAGAAGGTTGTGTATATATGGTTTTCTATGTTATAACTAAACTACACAGCTTTTTAATTGTTTCCTACTGCCAAACTGTAGAATTTCAGCAGCACCATATTGTGTGTTCTAATAGCTGAAAAAGGTTGGGGGGACTGTGGGCTTCCCACCCCTGTTTTATATGACTAAAAAGAGGCAAGATAAACAACATACCTCAGTTTTAAAGGCAATGAATGGTATGTGGACTCTAGACACCCTCCTCCAAGAACGATCAGTAGTACTGCCCTGTTCATGAAGTGTCCCTGCATTAAAAACAAAACAAACGAAAACTGATGGAGAACAATTATTTCAAAAAAAGTTGCGCAAGCTTTTAACAGTACAATGTCTTTTCTTAAACTTGCCACAATTCCTTTTCCTGCTTGTCTGCTGCCTTTTAAACTATTTCTGTAATTTCTCTCTCTCTCATTCTCTCTCTCTCGACTGAAGTCAAAATTATCCACTCATCCAGATTTCATTTTGCCTTGGTAATTAATCAGTCTGGAATAATGACAGATGCTAAATACTACAAGATAGCATCCTGCTCCTGAGACCTCTTCAGGATGTTTTTTAAGACAATAAAACAATTAACTCGATCTGATATTGAGGATTTTGCACCCACACAACTCAGAGGAAAATGCTAAAAAAAAGTGACCCTGGCAATGCAATTCTATGAATGTTCAGAGGGAAGCTCAGTCTGAATGCCGTTGTCTTTTAAACTGTGATGATGAGTTTCTTATGTAGTGTATGTTGCTTAGAAACCATTCCTAAATAATCAAATTTAAAAGAATTGTGGAAGACCACTAAAATACAGAGATTCCTGGATAGATAAAACCTTACTTATAACCACCTCTATCTCTTCTGCCATCATACGAGTTAAAGTGGAGCATACCTACAACTTTCTTCCTGTGTGTTCACAGACAAACTTGTAAGGTGGTAATTCCCCCAATATTATGATCTGAGTGGGGGAGGACTGAAATTGAGAGAATGGTGTCTTCATGATGGAGGCCTTGAAGTGAATATTTTCTATACCAATGAATTCTACATCTCACACACCCATATAGGGATAGGTTGTAATCTTGTCTTCTGAGTTGCTGCCATCAGTTATTAATAGGTTGTTGCAGGAAGGCAAATTTCACTTGATGATCAGGACAAACGCCCACATGGAAAGAGCAGTTTGAGAATGGAACCAATTACCTCTGGAGACAGCGTCCTCCTCTTTGGATGTGTTCAAGTAGCAGGTGCACGGCCACTTTTTGGGGAGGCTTTAATTTGAATTCTTGCAACAAAGAATATGTTGGAGTGATGGCATAAATGATGCCAGCTTATTCTGAGATTTTATGATTCACTGCTGGCTCTTCTAGTTATTGAGATACATTGGGAGAAATGATCTGTATTATTATTGCTACTGCACTATAAAGTTTCAGGGTATACTCAGCTCCTAGCTGGGTATAATTTCTTTTGGAAGGAAGCCACTGGAAGCTGATTGGCATTTTATACTATTTGTATTTGTTCATAAATATATAGACTGAACATACCACAATACTCCAGAAGACTACCAAGGCCATTGCTCTCACACCAGGTCTCCAGGGATGCAGTTAACATTCTAATATGATTACAAAACCCAAACCAAGTCTTTGGCTGGGTTCACACATAGCACAAAATAATGATTTGTCCTAACCATAGCTTTATTCAACAAACTACAGAAGTTTGATCTGCAAATCATAGTCAACTATACCCATTGTTTACAAGCCATAAACACAGATTATACTAGCCAGAAACCAAGTTAGCCAGATTACAGTTTAGAGCAATGTGTGGCTGCTTTATCTCCTCCACTTTGAACTATAAGTCCCTCAGTCCTCACCACTGGCTATGCTGGCTGGGCTCCTGAAGCTGTAATCCAAAACTTTTGGAGGGCTCCTGGTTACCTCCTCCTGATATGGGGATTATGTTACAAAACATCCACACTTTTGTCAATGGTGGTCAAGGGCTTCACAGTACCATACACCATTAGCCTTACTTGTAGAAACCTGATATGATTTATTCACATAGCCAAATGCTTTGCAATGGCCATTTGGGAAAACAAACATCTGTATGAGGAGATGTAGCTCTGCAGCAGAATACTTGCTTTGCATAGAGAAGATCCCAGGTTCAGTTGTCCTTGCCTTCTGTTAGAGCTACTGCCAATCTAGTATTAATTAACTAGACTGGCCAATGATCTGATTTAGTCTGACGCAGCTTCTGGCATCCTGTGGCTTATTTATAGAGCAATGAGCTGGATGGTGTCCCATTAAGAATCTTGCTATGGAAAAGATTTTAGTTTACCTGTCACCACAGACACAAGGTAGAAGAAAGTCTTTCTGATCTCTCACCTTCTTAAAAGTAAAGAGTAAAGATGAGTAGCTACTGTAAAGTCTGAAGCTAGTAAGAGATGAAGCAATAATTATCATCCCAGACAAAATTGTTACATGAACAGGGATTAGGATAAGAACAGCCAAAAGTCTGCTGACAAGGAAAGGGAGGAGAAGAAATTTAGGATTTAAAACCCATGGGTTGACATCTGCATAGAGGACTTATCTCTACATTCTACAGTAGATGGACCTTCTGCATACATATGACTTCTTTCCTGCTCTGCAATAAAGCACCTTTTCTAACAGCAGCTCTTGCTCTTATGTAGTTTTAAGTGTGGGCTTGAATTTTTGGAAAGGAAGGATGTACAGCTATTCCTAGCCTCAAGTTTGACAGCCACTGCCACCTTAGTGTCATCTGGGCAGTACATCAGTTTTATTTGCCCCTTTTCTTGCATGTCCTTCACATAATAAATTTAATGTCTATGTGTTTGATATTGGGTCTGTATGGTTGCAGTTCTGATATATCCCATGTTGTCCTCAAATAACATGGCTGGGATTGGTTCTTTTATTTTGAAGTTTAGCAATCCTTTGGGCAGTCACATACGTTTCCTACAAGTTTGTTCTGCAGTACAGTATTCAGCTTCTATAGATCGTAGGGCTACAATGCTTTGTTTCATGCTATGCCAGGTGGTGGGCACGCCCCTATAAAAGAATAAGTGTTCCATAGTTGAGTTCCTGCCAGATTTATCTCCATACCAATCTGAACCTGTATATTCAGTAAATTTTAGATTATTAGTTATAGCCAGTTTTAAATAAAGATGAAAAATTCATTTTAAGTATCTGCCTAACTGTTTTACTGCTGTCTAGTTCTGTTGTGTTGGCTCACTGACCTTTCTACGTAGCAGTCCAACTGCACTGGCTATGTCAGGTCTAGTCAAAGTTGCAATGCACAGTAGTTTTTCTTTGGCTGCCTTATACATGCCAACTTGTTTTGCTTTCCACCTTTGTTTAGGTATCCAACTTCCATGGGGATACTTCTTTGCTTAGCTATATTCTCTTTTATTTTTGATTAAGCGAGTGTGCTTCACTTTTGTCCTTTCTTATTTCAATTCAAGATAATGGCTAATATCCCCAAGATGTTTTATTTCTACTTCCTTATTTAAATTACTCACTATCTCCAAGCTGTCTCTTTTATCATCTGCACATACAATTAAATCAACGTAACAGAGAATATACAGTACATGTGTCTTCCATTTTGAACTGTTGTATATAAACATGGATCAGCATTTCCCTAGTCAAAGTCCATGTTTTCAACATTTGATTAAGTTTATCAGACCATGCTTTGGCTGCCAGCTTTAGCCAGTATATGAATTTTTGCAATTTACACACCAGTTTTTATTTGGCTCTTCAAAATTTGGTGGTTGGTGTATGTAACTCTCCTCTTTCAGATCACCATGCTGTCTTAAATGCTCCACATGTAATATCTGAAATGCTGCTAAACTTAGAATTCTAATGCTTGCATCTTTAACTACTAGTGCAAAAACTTCATCATAATCTAGCTTTATGGCATTGCATATTTCATGAGCATCATGCTTTCTTTTGAAAGCCTGCTTATAGTCTATGGCTTTCTTGCCCTTTGGTAGCTCTGCTAAAATCCATGTTTTGTTTCTGTGCAAGGATTCCTTTGCTTCTCATGCAGCTTCCCTCCATTTCTGTGCCCTCTGTGCTGCTGGCAATCACTGTACTTCTTTCCATGACTTGGGATCAGGCCCATCCTTTGCTTTAGCTGTGCAGCAGATTCTCTCAAGTGGGATTCCTTTATTAGATATTGGAGATCTTCTTAACCCTAATTCTGGGTCTTATTCTTATTCACTGCTTCCCTTTGTGAACTTCCTGGGTAGTGATGCTATTGATAAAATAGGTTGGCTTGTACTAGTATTTAAATATTGCAACTCTTTTATCCTTTGTTCTTTATTGAAAGGAACAACATTGCACATGTTTACTTTCCCGGTTTTTAAGTCCAAAATCCTGTAGCCTTTTGTTCCTATTTGATAAGCCAGCATCATTCCTAATTGGGTTCTGCACTTTAATTTATTACTTTTTCTTTAGGGATATATACACATAAGCTTTGCATCCAAATATCTTTAGGTGTGACAGTTTGGGTTTGCTCCCATTCTATAACTCTTATTTATTTATGTTTATTTATTTAATCACATTTGTATAGCACCCATCTCACATAGTGATTCTGGGCAGAATACATAATAAGAATCAAAAGTGTATAAATATCATTAAAACAATAAAAAGATTTTAAAAAATAATAAACAAAATAGGGTTTTGTTTATGGGGTTTTAGCTAGATCTTTTGTTGGTAGATAAGTAGTTGTGCTTTTCCCCAGCATAAGATCCAGCAAATTAGCTTTATTGTAATTTCCTGTTAACATTATTGGTAGTTTATTGTAACAGTGCAAAGTCTATTTTTAATCAGAATTTTACAGCCATGTTGCATAAGATAACATAGTAATATATTTCAAGAAGCATATTATGTAGCTGAATTGGATGCAGACTACATTAAGCTACATAATATGCTTCTTGAAATATATTACTATATTTCATGAAGCATGAATTCAATAATATATTGAACACAATAGATTACGTTAAGGGCCCCATTTCCAGCTAAACTGATAATTATGGGATAATTTTTCTCAGCTGCCATATATATTTATTTTGTACTGTATTGCAATTGTTTTAATTGTTTTTATGATTGTTCACTGCCCAGAGTCACTTGGTTGAGATGGGAGGCTATAGAAATTAAAATAAATAAATATTCCTAATTTCATTATGATTTAATATGCATTTCAGTTCAGCTCTCTGAGTGAGATGGGTGGTGACTAAACTTGAAAAATAAATAAATAAATAAATAAATAAATAAATAAATAAATAAATAATGCTGCCTTTTACACATTTACTAAATTAGTCTTTCTCTCATAAGATTCATCAGTCTTTGTTGCAGATTATTGACGATGCACCACTACACATTAAAAAATTTCCTTTCACAATCATGTCTAATTTCAAATAAGCATTTATTTGCTCATATAAATATTGTTTATCTGTATCTCATTGTTTTTGCAACCCTGTTGACTTTTCGTTTCGGACATTCAATCTCATTATCTCTCTCTGTTGTATAGGTCCATACTCCTGTAAAATCTGCTTTCTTTTTTAATATGCTTTCAAGCATGCTTTCTTTTTTTAATATGTCCTCTTTCATTACAGAAATAACGGATTACATTTATCTTGTTTAGAGAATTCCCTTCAGTTGCATTGTTCAAACCATGCTAGTATATCTCCAATTTGGCAATTACCATATATGTATACTTTTCTGGTAATGATCTTAATAACAGTTCCTTGATCAAATCATCAGAAAGGTTCATACTATTTTGTTTTAGTGTCTTCTGAATAGAGAGATACTCTGACCCATCTTCCATTAAACTTCCATGCACTGATAATTTCAGATGTACTAGTTTTCTGAATATTAATGCATTATTGGTCATTCCTGAGGATGCATATGTCTACCTTAGCTTGTTCCAAGTCTCTTTTCCTGAATCCCACTTTTCAATCAACTTACAGTTCATTGAATTAATTATTTCAGATTTCAGTAATCTACACTTTTTCATCCAAGCTGCCCTGCCTTGGGCTTCTTTTGTTCATGGCATCTCCAAAAATTCTGAGAGGTTCAGCTTTTCAAATAGTGCCTCTATTTTCATGCTCTGTATGCTATATTCTTTCCCATCTTCAGGCCTGAGATTTTCCAGTCCTGATGACACTGCCATTTTCAAAAACTTTTGCAAGCTTTGACAGTATGAAATAAATGCTCCTCAGTTAGGATGTATTAAGTCCTAATGATCATCCATAATACATGGCTCTGAGCGTTGGTTCAGCTGTATGCTTGACTAAGAGCCTGGAAATAACTTGGGATGTTTTTGTGACTGGGGTGCTCTGCATGCTCAGGGTGATAAGTGTTTAGTTCTGGCTCCCTCCTGGGACCATAACCCTTCTGTTGGAAAATTACTGTGGGCAATTTCCAGCTTAGTTTGCGCCCAGCACACTCCCAGTCAATTCCTATATTCAGATCAAAGGAAGCACACATGACGCTCAGTTCAGCCAGCAAAAATATATATTTTGATGTTTATTTAGTAAACATCAGCAAACATCAAAATAGTTTACTAGCAAAACTGGGTAAAATGTAGGAAAAAAAGCAGGGAGAGAGAGAGATGTAAACAATAAGTCAGAATTTACATTATCTATATGATATCAAAAAGGATAGAAGATTCTAGAGCTACTGAAACAATACTGTGGGTAATTAGCATGGACAGTCCCAAAGGGAGTGCTTTTGATTATTCCATCATTAACCCTTTTAAATACAAGGAGCAGCAGAATGGAGATGGAAAGTGGGACATCACCTGATCTCTCCTCTTTTCTGCCTCTTAAAGAAAACAGTTTGGTAGATGGGGATGATGCATGCAACACGAATGGCTATTTAGAAAACAAATAGATATTTATAGCCTATTTGGAGGAAAACAGTACATTCCAATACTCTGGTTCACCCATCACACCTTGCCACAATTTTGTTTACTGCGGTCTGTTGTATAAGCTACATGATTCACACCTCACACTAAGTCATAAGCTGTGGTTCTACAGTAGCCGGGTTCACACAACAGCATGCAAAGCCACAAATAATCAAATCACATTATGACATAACATAGTCGTTGGGTATTACTGTAGGCTAAAATGGCTGAGGAAAAAAGGGACGGATGGGAAGATGGATAGTAGCTGGCTGGTAATACTTAAAAAATGAGAATCAGCAGCGCATGTTAAAAAACCTATCTAGACTGCAAAAATCAGGGATAACCATTAGATATGGCAGCAAAGAGATACAGAAAACTTGTGTTGCCATCTAATGATCATCTGGATTTCTGCAGCCTGGAGCTGGTAGCCCTGTGAAAACTTCTGAAGAGAATTGCATTTTTTCCTGACACCATCATTTGATCTTCAAGGAGAAACGAGACACAGAATCTTCCTTTGGTGTGACTGGAAATAAGACTTCCATCAATATTAGTCATGCTGAAACATGATGGAAGCACAATGAAAGCCAAGAAGTGCTTTATAAAGTTCTCCTTTAGAAATGCTTAATACAATGACCTAAAACATAGAACACTGGAGCGATGTGTAAGATTTTTAAAAAGGAAAAGTCTGTGAATAAAATGAATAATAATGTTCCTAACAGTATCAAGGACTTGATATTTACATTGTATTTCCTAAAGTATATAAAATTGTTCATCCTGAAAAAAATGTAATCAATCTTATCATGATCCTTGTACTGAAAAATAGCATTTGAAGGAACTTATTAAAAAATGAATTAAAAAATGCCTGATTTTTGTGCATTTCTCCATTAACACCATTTAGAGTAATATGCCTATTCTACAACTTCATTTTAAAACAAGTTTTATTAGTGTTTTCCTGGAACAAATATATTATGTTTATTGTAAGCTATCTTATCAAGAGAAAATTAATATTGTTATTTGCTGTTTATATTTGCTGTAAGTGCCTGTGCCCAGTGGAACTATATTTCTTAATATTGCCACTAAATATTTATACTAACTGCTGTTCGTGACAATCTTTGATTATTTTGAAGTTAAGCATTTGAAAAGAAGATGGCTTCTATGCTGAAAATATCTTTACAAAGAGCTGTGCTTCATCTAGAATCCGTGTTCTAAAGAAGCTGCATCAAAAGTGGACAAATATTTTACACTACAAGTAATACCTTTCACCCTTAGGTTTAATTTTTACAGACACAATTAAAAATATCAGATAAGCTGCTTTTCATTAGATGTTACATTGTTATACACTTCATCTTGCATTAGTGTAACAATAAACCACAAACTGTATCATCACAGCTTTCTCCTCATATCCTTCATTTTAGAACATGTTCAGTTTGGTTAAAATGTCAGATTAAGTTATGGGTAGGTAATAAAAATCTCTAAAATTGTTGGCTAAAAGAAACGATGGACAGAAGAAAGCTTTAAACCAATGTATAGATTTCAGCTGTCTTTAAATTTAACTTAGTTCTGCTTCTACAGTGCTGAACATGTTTTAAGTATAAATAAATATCCTACATTTGTGTAATGATGAAGTACTTCATACTATGGTGTTTGTTTTAGTGAGAAAATAAACAGCGTAGTTGCATTGCTTAAGTAATCAAGTTAAGATAACAAAAAAGATTACAGTTACAGGGCTAAAATCTCCTATCAGTTAAAAAATTATAGCCGTGCAAAAATGTTATGAGATAGTCATCTGCATGGAGGAATAATAAACAATACTAAATGCCTTTGCAGCTCTGTTATTGCATCCTTTAACAGAATTTGGTTGCCAAGGTAACAGGTTGGCCCAATATTGATGTGAAGCAACTATATTATCAAGCAGCTATCTAGTGTATGTTATATGTCCATACAATGACTCAAAAATTAACTCAGATTATGTCTATACGTTTTGTTTTAATTTGCTAAGTAAGTCTAATTCTAATTCGCATTCATTTCAAGGGGACATGAATAAATTTAGATGCTAATCTTTTTAAAATATCTGACATCTCAAAAGGAAAAAAAAATACAGTGTTTAAATGTATCCTTACTTTATGTCAACAATCTTAATAAAAGAACAATAAATATTAAGTTAGTTTTATAATAAATACCAAAAGACCGCTTTCTAGCACAAAATTTGAATATTTTTATTTTTTTCACAGCTATATTCACAACTTAGACTTTTGTATCTTCGCAAAAAGCCTATTCATTTTCATAGTTGACTTCCAAATCCTCTAAAATGGTTGAGCTTTTTAAAAAGTCTTCTGTTGCATAAGCGGTGCCACGCCCTGATTATCTAGCAGAAATACTATTTTCAATTTTAGAAGAGGTATATGTTTTTAAACTGATAGAATTGCCTCTTGAATGTACACATACACAAAGAGAGTATTTTAGAAGTACATCATTACAAAATATACTTATTTAATAGATTCCTAGCTCAGAGTCAATGTCTATATTTTCATATTCTTCCATTGTGGAATAACAATTGGTAAAAGCATGCAAATCTTCACCTACCTGTTTATGTGGCTTAATTAAGTCTTAGCATGGCAATGTACTCAGCCATTCCTGTTTAAAGCAATGGAGAGACTGTGAAAGCTTGGCTATTTCAAAAAGAAAAAAAAACTGGAGGAAAAAAGAAGCTGTTTTCAAAAACACCTTGCTTGAATAGACTGTGACCAAGATAGCTGAATTTATCAATGGGAAGGAGAGATGTAGACTGCGGAGAGATCTTCTCGTCCAAGGTGGTGGTGAAAGGTGGTGGTTGATTTTAAAGCTGCAGCACAGGACTGTCCTCTCCCTTTCTGAAGGTTCAAGGCTTGAAGATGACCACTGACTGCAAAGGCCCCTTGTCACATCTGCTTGAACATCAGCCCAGGATGATTGCCCCTGCTGAAAAGAAAAACTCAGCAACCAAAGCCCTATGCACACCTCTTACGCAGTAAGAGTTAAAAATAGATTGCATGGGCTTTATAAGAAATACGTCAGTTTCAAAGGGTTTAATTTGATATTGCCATTAATTAGCAATACAACATATATTATTTAAAGAGCAGCTAAGGCAAAGGGGAAAAAGAGTGACACCAACTGGAAGCAGCGTTCGCTTAATTCTTTTTAAAATAATATAATAGTAATAAAAATAGACCAAATGCTGGTTTTGGAGCGCAATGATGAGCTAATAACTAACTGCACCGAAAATTGAATTCTAAAGTGCCTGCTTATAGAGCGATGTCCATTAGGAAGACCAAGCCCTTACTGTGGCATGATATGGCACACAGAGCCTTTACATGCTCCCTTTAGAAATACTAGGCAGGGCATAATGAATTCAGTCTCGAGACCATGCAGGCAGCGCAAGCAGCATTAATCCTGCCTGCCATTTTAGGCTTGCAACAGAATGAGGCAGAGACAGCAGCAGCAGCAGCACCGATCCAGTACGAGAAAAGGCAAGGGACCGCTCACCTTAAATGCAGTTTCTGATTAATGTTGTTAAGTGACATTGCAAATATGCTCTGTCTTAGAGCAACTGTGTGGGAGGGAACAAAGGAGAAGAAGAAGGGGAAAAAAACCTGCCATCAACTGATGATGCAAGGTGATTTGCACTGTGCTGCGTTCAGCAAAGCTCCAGTTTCTTCATCAGTGCAGCCTTTAAGTATGGCAGATTCTCTGGCAAAAACCTGTCTGCAGATCTCTTTCTACTAACCGCAGCCATCTCCTTCTATTGAGAAAAACAGAAGATTCCTTTTTTTAAAAAAGCCCAAACCTCTTTGGAGGGGAGGATTGGAAAGAAAATCTGCAACAATACTCTTCTTGACGAATGAAGATTTCACATAGTACGTATTAGGTCCTAGCTGTATGGAACTATTGTTCTGTTTTCCTATTTTCTTTATGCCATATCATTTACTCTGGTTGTGGCTGTTGTTGTGAAGCATGTAAAAGGCGAGACCACCGCTGCGAAAGCACTAATTCTGCAGTGGATTACTGAAACGCTGAGCTTATTGACAAAATCACAGGCGCATCAGGTCTGACTGCAGAATCAGCTGTCTGCATCTGTGTTGCACCCTACTTAACCACAAGCAAAGTTGCAGCTAAATATATCTGCAAGGCTTAAACGGAAGCCCTTTTGTGATACAGCTTATGTTTCAAAATGCCTGTCCATCCTTAAAGAGTTCCTGAAATGAGTGCCTGTTAGAAAATGAAGAATCACAGTCTTCTGCATTGTTCTGTGCCATGGAGAAAGACCATAAATGTCACTCCTAAACACAGTGACCTATAAAAAGCTAAGATGACTTAAGTGGCATACCCTGATACGTGATCCTTGTACCAGAAGAGGAAAAGAAAAGCAGATTGACCATAATCAGGCTGAAGGCAGAGTTCATGCACCCATCTTAGGTTAAGAAGTAGACATAAGACTGCTTCTTGTTTGTTGTTGCTGTTGTTTCTGACACTCTTTTTATTCACAGACTGCCTCTGCTATTGTTGTACTCTGACATTTTGGGATCACAGAGGTCAGTGCAGTGCAGCATCAACAAATGCTCAGTTTTAGTGACCCAGATCCAACTTTTTTTTTTTTTTTTTAAATTAAACTAAACCCCAAACACTAACGGCAATCACTGTCACAAACCATGTTCAAAGAGCTTTTCTCTTGCGTTTGACATTAATAGAAGGTTATCTTGTTTCACTGCGTTAGGGACACTGAATGGATTTTCAACGGAGGCTGCAGGATCAGATTTTTTGAAACAAAGATAAAGACAAAGAGTTTTAAAACAAATCTTCCCATTTTGTTAAAAAGAAACGTACACGTTGCATTAAATATATAAGGTGGAAAAAGAGGAGAAAAAAAATAAGTATGTTTTTTTAACTGTCTGGAATGGGAACATGTCTTGCTTTCTATTTATTGCCAGAATTTCCTCACAGGGGAAATAGGGAGGAGTAGAACAGCTTATGATGACCACTGCTGTGGTCCCTTAAGACTGAAGTATTAAGGAGAGGAAAAAAATAACTCTAAATCCTACCTGACTATAGAAGAACGAAACCCTTTCCATTACAAAGGATTACAGAGGGTCACAGTTTTTGCTTTGTTCTCTCGCCACTCACAAAACAGAAGCCTGCTGGAATCTTTCGAAAGTGCTCATATTTCTAATTCATTACAAGATAGTCTTTGAATGTTTCAGATCCACTGAATATTACATCAGATACCAATGTGTTTATGCCACTTGAACAGTTGATTTGGAAATGCCTTTTTGGTACAAATGCCTGTCTCCAAAAAGAAACATTAACATTAAATATTTGCTACATCCTCAGCACATTTGTTCATGAATTAAATAAGAACAGCCACAGCTTTCCACTTACACTGTAAATGAAGAATAATTCTACTTAAACAAGTAAAGATTGTGATAGAGGGGAAAGATGTAAAGGATCCTAATTTTTTTTTCTTTATTGCTGTTTAAAATAGAAATCATAGCACAGGCATATAAATATTTGTCAGTTCGAGGCCTTGTTTACAGTATCATCTCCAATCCTACAGAAAAGATTGTAAGATTGCCTTTTAAGTTTCTGATTCCCTGCCTCTTTTAAGGAGCTCTGTACTGAACTTTTGTTATTGTCCTCAACGTCCTGACTTGAACATCAAACTCCACAAAATCCAGCTTTTTCATTATATGCCATCTCTACTTAAAATTCTGACATCACCACTGGAAGCATTTCAAGTGTATGAAGAAGAGGCAAGATTCATAACTCATAATCTGGTGACACCAAAATATTATGTACAATAAATAAAATTTTCCCAGGGTCATGTTGACAATTGCAGACTGAGCACAGCAGATAGTTCATGTTTTAAAATGAGGAAATTTATTTTAGGTCCAGTGACAAAATTGAATGGGTTGAGCAAAATAAAACTATATAGGACATATTGCCATATCAGCTTGCAGCAGCAGAATTCACGTATTACAATACACCTTTTAATTTAGAAGCAGAACAGTACAAAGCCTCCTTTTTTTCAAAACAAACAACCCAAACTCTCTTGTTTGGTATTTGATGCAGTAATAGAAATAGATCAGTTTACATAGGATTAACGTACAGTATGTAGGAAACATAGGAAGCAGCCTTACATTGAGACAGGTTACTTCTCTACATACTGTAGCTTAGAATTGCCCAGCATCAGGAATAGACTGCCAGCATCTCTCCAGACTCAAACAGAAACCTTTCATATCATATGAATCTGACTGAAACTGGCAGGAACTGAATCATGAATCTCTTGCATTTGCTCTACCGTGAAATATGGTTCCTTCCTCTGTACAATGAAATGCTATTCGTTGATCATGGGAACTACAAATTAGGATAACTACACATTTAAATTTATGGAGCCAGTAGTAAAGAACAAAACTTTTTACATAATAGAAGATTTTCTATAAACCATTTCGCTTCCATATATTTCACCTAATTTTTTTCTTCAAAAAAAGTTTTATTTTATGACATGAATTAGTAATGTCATGAAGAGGTTCTAGACAAAGGGAGCAGTTTCTAAAAATACATTATTTCATTAACTGAGTCAAAAGAGTTGGAACTTATTTAGCATTTTTAAAAAATCAAAAAGAAAATTTTAATAATTCAACAAAAATGAAAATGCAGTATAAATTATTTTCAAGTGGTATATATCACCTGTAGCATTAAACCCTAAAACAGTTGCTGAAAGAGTTGCAGTAGAATTGGAACCAATGTGACAGGAATGCACAGTAATAAAAATATAAAGTATAATATTTAATGTAGATAAATAATGCCAATATTCTATAATGCCAATATTTTCTAATATAATGCAGAAGAACATATATATAATGTGTGTATGTAGGGGTGTGTGTATGTATATTTGTGCCTTTGAGTCAGTCTTGACTCCTGGCAACTGTCTGGACAAGTCCCTGCAGGTTTCTTGGCAACGTTTTCAGAAGTGGTTTGCCATTGCCTCCTTCCTAGGGCTGCGACAAGGTGACTGGCCCAAGGTCACCCAGTTGGCTTTGTGCCTCAGGTGGAACTACAGCTCACAGTCTCCTGGTTTCTAGCCTTAACCACGACACCAAACTGCCTCTCAAATTTTATATATGCAACACCTATATACTTAAAATGTTAGGCTGTTGCAATATTTTATTAAAGGAACATAATTCACCGATGGAACATGGTATTCACAAAAGCTAGTTAAACAGAAGAGCAGAACTTTAAAGAAAACAACTGTCTACAATTTTACAATTTCTTTAAAATCTAGTCTTCTATTGACTAGGCAAGTATCAATCATATTACATGAGACCATCAAGCACACCATGAAACCACAGCTACCTAGACATTAGTGCTGTACATTTTTATAATATCCACTAAATGGATTTGCCTAAAAACTCTAAAATCTGTGGTTACCAGTGCCGGATTTAGACTTGGTGAGGCCTTAAGCGACATAAAATTTGGAGGCCACTTGTTGAAAAGTTATACAAAGGTATGTACCAAACAGGACCATGGGTCGGCACAAAAGAATTGAAAATGTATATATGCCTTTTAATTATTTAATAGCAAACTATTTAAAGTGAAAAAATACAAATTATTTTCGAGTGAATGCATTTACTGATTATATATTTATCATTTGGCTGGCTTGATCTCTCTCATAGATTATAATATAGTATACCCTGGAAACAATACTTAAATGTAATTTTAAAAATAATTTTAAGATACATTAATGTATATACAAAATGCTGACAAAATAAGTAATCAGGATCACTTTTATTAATATAAGTAATAATGAACTCACTGGCAAAATCAGAAAACTGAGATTAGATACAACTTAAAGCATTTTCTTTCTTGATTTCTCAAAAGCAAAATCCTGAATTATGCACTCAAATGATATGCTACACAGCTTATCACTTTCTATGCACATTATATTAATTACATATGAAGCCAGT